TTCTATATAATAATGCCTCGCTCCTTTCTCATTGCATTGTTTCCGCTCATTGCGGTTTCCATACTATTTGCATAGGTTAGTCCTTTCCATCAGACCTTATGTTATTATTTTTGTATCTGTTGTGAACATACTTTGAACATTTTACATATGTCATACTAGTCGACATCTCAATAAAAAGTTTGAACAAGGAAACAATTTTCGTCATAATCATTTTGAATTTACAGCAATTAATGAACTATGATGAAAATCAATTCCAATTTTCATCAACGAACAAAAAAAAACACAAAACAAAAATGAGGGTCGGTTCACATATATGCAAATTGGAGGCATTTTGAACATCCAATTCACATGCCATGTGAAAAAAACATTGGTTTCTATTGCGCCTGTTCACATACTGTATATGTGGTGCACCCGTGGTGCAAATTCAGTGTGATTTTTTGAGCAGTACGATCCAGTTGAGGTGCGAATTACAGACTCATTGACTTCTATGGGAACCTTATGAATCACACGTCATCAGTTCTGAACATGACTCCAGCACTCTTTTCTTTCTAGTCACAGAATTGGCAGCTGTATTAAAAATCCTGTCCTGAGCGGCATCTAAACCTGTCCTGAGCCTGGACAACTACCTTGTCAATCCACACTGAGGGAGGGACGTTTGCGCACCTGTTTATGAAACTTTTTTTTAAATATAAATATATATATATATATATATATATATATATATATATATATATATATATATATATATATATATATATATATATATGACCTTCTATATCACAATGGCCAAATCTGTGTCTGTATTATATGTTCAAAAACCTTTATACCATAAATAACAGGTTATTAGAATTTTACTCCAGGAGTATATAAGGAGTTTGGCAATTCTACAGACATGCTTAAATAATGCATAATTGAACTAAACCCCTTAGATTTTAGACAAAATGATTTTAGTTGACTAATATGTACTGAGATTTTAGACGACTAAAATTAAAAAATTCAGATGACTAAAAAAAATACAGCTAAAACTAAAAGTGCATTTTAGTGAAAAGCTATGACTAAAACTAAAATCGAAAATTTGACATTAACACGGTCAGCCAGATAGAGAAGGCGGATTCCACAGTATTTTTATACATTACAAGCAGGTGTTCATGCACAGACTCCCTTTTAATATTTAAGTAGAAAACATCATCAGTACTAACATGATCTGCAGCCTGGAGGCTGGTGTGAATCAAGACAACTAAGATCTTGCAGTGTATTTGGCAAACTGTGACAATTTAGATTTTTTTGAAGTAACATCAAATATATTTATCCATATTAAATGCTTGCATAACAACTGAAATGCCAGGATAACACCTGTGCATTGTATAAAGGCAACTCATTCATTTGTAATGGGCTGCCAATGCACCCCAGCTTGGCCAATGCCGCTCCTGACCCTTTGTAATGCAACTCACAATAGTGCGTTGCTGAGTGTTGTGGGTAGAAGCCTATATTTAAAGCTAAACTCTAGAAAATGTATTGAAAACAGCCTTGCAGTGCCCCCCTTGCACTGCAAGGGTTAAATGCTATTAGTAACTACAGAATCTGCTGGTAGCACCATCATTCTTGGATCTGAAGGTGTAGTTACAGTATCCACCCAGCAGAAATTAATTTCCTCCTGATGTTGGCTGCTGGGAGAATAATTAGTCCCACTTTGTTTGTGAAGCTCAACATATCTGGTCACATCCTGTATGCAGTACATGATGATACCATAACAAATACTCATTATGCTCAGAACAGGAGAAATAATAGAATTTTTTCTATTTACCTGTAAAATCCTCCTCTTCGAGTATATCACAGGACACAGAGGAGTTAATATTCATGACTACTTGGGATGTCCCAACCCACTGAACATGATGGGTGGGTAACAAGGCCAACACACTCAATGCTTGATGCTGAACAGCTCAGGAAACAAAATGACTCTTCTGATGGAATGGGTCTTAAAAGGAAAAAGGAGGAATCTTTCCCCAAATTCTGTGAACCTGAGAAATGAGTTGACAAATCAAGAGTGGATCAAGAAGCAGCCTGACCCTTACAATAGCCTTCAGACAGAACAAAACCGGGAATAAGACTGCGGAAATGACAATGTTAACATCAAACTACAGCAGCTTGACCAATATCCAAATAGTAAACTTTTTTTTCTAAACCCAAGCATCCTAAAGGAAAATGTAAAGATGGCAACACGTCCTGATTTAGGTGGAGTGGAGGAACCACCTTAGGTAGGAAAGAAGGCCAAGGCATGAACACCATCTTTTCCTCGTGAAAAAAACAGGATAGGTTCCCTGCAGGAAAATGCAGCCAACTCTACGACCCTGCCAACCAAGTAACAAAAGGGATTCTTCAGCAGTGGTTTAAAATGAGAAGCTTGTTAAGTAGATAAGCCAAAGATAAGGTCCCACAGAAACAAGGGGGATTGCAGAGATTGAAGAAGAATCCATGTAACAAGGAGTGAAACTGGATATAGAGGACTGCTTCAAAAAGGCAGTTACGATCTTCCCCAACACCTTCAGGAAGGCTAAAGTCAGTGCCAAACTTATGAAGGTTCAGTACTCTCGTCCATATTTCCATGAATTGTACAGGCTTGTTGGACATGTGATGCTGAATTCTGAGCGGATTGCTTCCTGTGGAGCAGAATATCCAGGTACCACAAACGAGAATATCCTGGATTCTCAACAACCCAGAACGAACATCTTGGTAAACATTCTGTAAGTCGGGGACAGGAGGGAAAGTTATAACAAACGGATATTGGCAAACTTCCACTCTGCTGGTTAGGCTGAAAGAAAATCAGAATGGGTAGGTAGGCATTTTGAAATTACGGATGCCAGGAAGTTCCATTGTTGAAGCAAAGCTTTCACTGACTAGGTGGACTCCATCCTGAATTTTTGTGAGAAACAGGACACCCTTGAGCTCCAGGATAGGCTAAACGTCTGTCTGGCTTGAAACCATGAACACATTAGAAGCGGAGAGAAGTCTCCTCTGCTGGGATGTGTGTGACAGCAGTGTTCACAGGTGCACAGAGACCATTCTTTTTGTGAACACCCTTGAGTGCATAAAGCGTGGAGGGGGAAGCAGCCAAAACTTCAGATTGTAGCCCCTGGATACCACGTTGCAGACCCAATTATTCATGACTTGGTGTCCAATGACTGCAAAAGACTATTAGACATCCCCCTACAAATGCAAATCGGAGGGAAGGGGCCCTTCACCACATAGAGGATTCGACTCCGCAACTGCCGAACTTGGAAGTCCAGTTCTTACAGAAATGGGATATAGGCTTTTGCTTAAGAGTCTGATGCTGGTTGCTTACAAAAAGAAACTTCATGAATTCCAAAAGGCAACATTTTTTTTCTGACTGAATACCTCCTTAAAGTGGCAAGAGCATGCTTTTTTTCCCCAGTTACCTTTTAGAAGAGGCATCCGATGATGGTCAAAACAAGTATTCACCCTCAAAGGGCAACCTTTCTAATATGCGGATTGGTGAGAAGTTCCAATCATCAGCACTTGAGCCATAGGATCCTTTTCATGTGGACAAACATATCACCCATTCCATTGCAACAGTTGCAAGTCCAGCTTTAAAGCATGCTTCAATTGCACTTCTAATTGTTCTATAGTTTATTTATGTAACATTAATCATTTGCAGATTGTTTGACATGCTTTGCATTTCTTTGATCACAGCAGGTCCTACTGTGAGCAGCTTCTATACAAAAGCAACTCAAACAAAAAGCACCTGTACCCAAAGGTACATGCTCTCACAAGTAACACTGTTAGGTATAAAACGTAGTATTCATAAAAGAGAGTGTCGATTTTTTTTTTTAACACTTTAGCTGTCTGAACAGAGCAGGCAGAAGGACGAACCACTTATCCAGCTATTTTAGATGTGTGTATATTTAATCTACAACAATGGGATCTGCAATCAGACATTTGTGAGCAAACTATATGCAAAAATCACTATATGAACCCTTCTCTATGAATGGCAAAGCAACAGGTTTGCATGATTGATACCCCCAACCCACTCAACCTTCACTCCCTGCTACTCCATGACAGCCCTTTGTAAAGTTTTTTTTTTTTTTTTTTTCTTTTGGAATTCCAAACAGATTGCACAGGGTCGAATGACTTCCCATCCAAATGTGAGAGCACTGAGCCAAGAACCATACCAAAGAAGTACCATGTATGTTCTTCACTCCTGGAGGTAGATGTAAGCGGTATAAGAGGAAAGGTAAGAAAGTATGTGTTTCTGCGGATGGAAGCACTACAGCAAACCTGTTGCTTTACATGGCTGGGGAAAAGCACACATTTGCCTTCAAGATGGTCTACAGGGATGATATATTTTGCATACTTACATTGTTCACTCACTTAAAGAGCTTGATCAGGTATCACACATTCATACTTTTACACAGTGCCAAGCTAGCCCAATGAAAGTATGCAAAATAAATCACCCCTGGAGTTCAGCTTTAAGAATGCAGTTTGTGATATTGTATAAAGTAAATATAGTGCAGCAAACAAGAGTGCAGCTACAAGAGTGACAAGCACCCATTCTAAAGAATATATACCATCATTTAATGACTTAGGCAGAAAGTTCATAGAAAATATTTATTTTAAGATTTCAATCAATGAATCTCTGAAGGCAATGCAAACGTCAGCTGGTGCAGTAATAAACATAACACTGTGAAGGATGAATATTAAAACACATATTAATATAATATAGGAAGTTAACAGCAAACCCTTCGGAAAACTACTAGTTCTAGTTGATTTAAAGAATCCTGAAAATAAAAAAAAAAAAATTGTAGGAGAGACTGCAGATTAACTGAACAGCCATCAAAACGTACAGTGAAGAACACATTCATGTAAGGATGATGTCTATAGACTGATAAAAAAAAAATTGGTCCATTCTGAAATCAGCAGGAAAGGTCTCTTGGTTCTATGTTGATGACGCGCTGAAATGTCTAGGTCTTACAAAATAGCTTGTTTCAGAGTTCATTGTGTGAGAGGCCATTCTTGGAGATGCGGCTGGTCAAGTCTTGAAGATGTTTTTTAACCTAAATTAAATCCATAAAGTACAATAAGTTGAGTTACATTTACATAAACATGTCCAACAAATTAAGTTTTTTTTTTTTTTTGTTATAAAAACACACAACCCAAAAACAAACCCCCCCACAAAAAACACACACACAAAACTGTTGCCAATTTACCCTTACAGGTAGGAACATGTATTTTTCCTGTTACTCTGCATTCAGTAACCAGAGATTGTTTGTGGTCTCCTTCAGGGTAGGGGGCTGAAGGACAGGTACCTGTCACTTGTAGCGCTGGGGCCACTTGTGTTACTCTTGTTTGGACCACACACACACACCTGTATATCACTTACACAAGGATGCATACTATGATATACCATTTCTAAGTTCTCTCAGCTGATGCAGTTCCATTCCTTGACTGTAAACCTGTCAAAGACACTTTGCTGATTGGGAGACAGCCTGATTTGCATTTGTAACACTAATTTGCTTAATAATTGTCCTCCAGTGTTCACAATGCCAGTGATATATCCAGCATTGTCATATGAACCCTTAAGAGTTTGACACTTATGCATGAATTTCTCTGCTTGCAAGTGGTGGGAATATGTACAATACCAGGACCTGAGCTATGGTAACGTATCTAATATGGTACCAGCACCTGACAATATGGATCTAAAAAAGTATGCTGGACTCCAGGGCACCCAGAAGACCGCACTAGAGGTCATTATGGGCAGCACAGTGGCTAAATGGTTAGCACTTCCGCCTGGCAGCACTAGGGTCGTTTGTTCGAATCCCAGCCACGGCACCTCCTGCCTGGAGTTTGCATGTTCTTCCTACGCCTGCGTGGGTTTCCTCCGGGTCACCGGTTTCCTCCCACACTCCAAAGACATGCTGGTAGGTGAATTGGCTCCTGTCCAAATTGGCCCTAGTATGTGTATGTATGAATGTAAGTTAGGGACCTTAGATTGTACACCCCTTGAGGGTTAGGCACTGATGTGAATGTACAATATATATAAAAAGCGCTTCGTAAATTGACGGCGCTATAGAAGTACCTGTAATAAATAAATTATTCTTATCTGCAAAACCAGTATGAGAGTCCCACCCCCCCCTTTTACTTCATAGTTCTGCTTTAATTACAAAAAGGTGCATGTATGCTGAATAACTTCACATGTGAATGAAGATTTTATTCTAGTTAGACAAAACAGCCAAATACTACAGCTAAAGGCAGTCTGATAAAAAGACCAGTGACTACGATTTTTTTTTTTTTAAATGGGAAATTTATGGAGTCACTGGTGTGGTGTGCAGCAGAAGTCAAAACGGAGGAGTATTACATTTGTGACAAAAGCAATACGATGCATTAACAATTCAAGTCTTTTCAGCCCATCAAAATGTCAGGAGTTGAAGGATGTTTTACGGTTACTGAATACAGATTTTGTGCTCTACCAGGTCTGGTTTTCCAAGACAATAAAAATCTCCATGGGTAAGGAACGCACGCACGCACACACGCACGCACACACACACACACACCACTCTTTAGGCGTTGGCACTGTACAGCCGTTAATCTTTAAAAAGGCATTATAAGCACATGCTGTCTATATACAAAAGTCATGTGTATTCTTTCAGTAATCTTGATGTGCTTTGCATATTTCTTTCAGATCTGTGCAGTAATCCACTGTGAAACATGGTCTCTGTGCAGGAGCTTCCTGTAATACAGACCGGTCACTGCTGCTCTCTCTCCTTGTGCAGGGTGACTGGTCTGGTCTCCATCCTCTCCTGCAGGGAGCCTGAAGTGGGTGGAGCTTGCTGGGCCCTGCCTATGTTCTCTGCACAGGCTAAGTACAGCACAGTGATGATGCCACTGCTACCTTTACAAGGTAATATGTAGTTTTACAAATGCATTTGGCTCACTCAAGTTAATTTAAATCCTTTGTGGCTATTGAGGAATTTATTTAAAATAAATGTTTTTGTGCTCAGAGTTCAGCTTTAGTCCTCATGCACACTGGCCATTTTTTACAGCGGCTGTTTTTGGCTTTTGGCATTTTCTACAGCCAGTAAACTCCAGCTTGTTATCCTATGTGTCCATGCACACTTTTAGAAGTGTTTTTTGGCTGGAAAGAAAAAAAAAAAAAAACACACACACACACACACCTCAGGTTTCTAGAGGAATTATATTGTATCTGTAAAAATGCTCTAACGCTAAAAAAACGCAGCAAATCAGCATTTTTGGACTTTTGAAAAAAACATTTTTTCCACCTAAAAAAAAACGCAAATGCAGAAAAACACTAATGCAATAACGCAAAAAAAAAAAAAAAAAACCACTTTGTTTTTTGTTTAGCTTTCTGACTTTACACAGCTAAATGCTACCAATGTTGTTAAATGTGCAGTGTACATGGAGCCTTAGCGTTCACAGCAGAAAGTATGGTTTCATTTCAGCAGTTCAGCTTATTCTGCTCACCCCTCAGCATCAAGTTGGCAACCTTTCTAATCTCCATTCTAAAACACAGCAGGTGTATTGGAAGAAGGGGAGAGCAACATGGGGAGAATTGACACACTTCAGTCCTTCTAATTTTGAGGATGAATTTCTCCACATTGCTGCCAGCTAGGCAAGTAAGGGCTTATTTTACCATTTTGGGATTTTTAAAAATCCATACCCTGGTCAGTGTTTCTACTCTCAGCACTGATAAAATAAATTGACCAATTTTTCGATGGTATAATGCAGAGTAATATTTTACCATAATTCCCTAAACCATCTGATCATCGCCCCACTGGCCAATTTCATCATGTAGAAAGCAAGGTCAATGGTCGTAGTCACGTCAGTGTACTAAAAAGCGTCAATAAAAAAAAACAAAAACAAAACAAAAAAAAAACCACAGACCACACCACACACACCTTACCTGCTCTGTGCAATGATTTTTTGCATAGCGCAGCCCCAATGCTAAGAATCTAAATACTTTCTGGGGTTCCCTGCCGGCCGCTCCTGGCTCCTCCCCACAGAAAGCTGCTTGCTATAGGGGCCACTAGTGCATGTTTCAGAGACTTTTCCACTATAATCCTGTGCCCCACTCTGTGTGTCCCTTCCCACAAGTCCTCCTCACTGGCTGTGATTCACAAGCAGCAGAAGCCAATTAAGGAGGCATAGCCAGGACAACAGCAGTTCTCGACGCATATAGGATGGATCGACAGGTCTTTTACCTTCAATGCAGGGAGGTTTAAACTACTCCCTCTATGCTAAAAAACACTCACACACACAACACACACACACAACACGAAGAACACACACACACACACACGTTGCCTGTGGACTGACATTTTGTGGCAATTTACAGAAACCAGCAAAAAAGGTCTAGCAATGACAGCCTATGAATTGTGACAGCTTTACTCGAATGAATAGAATGACCAAAAGCCAAACATCAGTGAGGTCCGTCTCCATGGAAAGAACTGCCTCTCTACTATTCAGCAAGACTGCTGCACATCACCTTGTAACCCCAGTCTCCTTTATCTTTTCTGTGGAGGGCATTATGCTTCTCTTTGCTCTTTCTTGATGTGCTCCTTGTCGCCGGTTTCTACAACATGTTTCATCAGCTTTTCATGTGAGATTTCAAGCTGTGCTTCCTGGTAATGCCTGTGTTTTTCAACTTTGGTTTCAAAGTGTTTCGAGTTCTTCCTTTAGGAGAGAGAGAGGAAGATTGTGGAAGATGCGATCGATCAGACCATTATCAACACAGCCCCTAGGACTATAGATGAGTAGGCGCAGGCTGTAATGATCAATATATGGATGGTAATCACTTTAACTGAGCTCCAGGAAAACTGACCCTCACTAGTAAAGCGATAGAGCTATACTTTCCTAACATAAAATGTAAATTAGATCTCTCATGTTTGCATACCTAAAAAAAAAAAAAAAAAAAAAAAACTTTGCCTATTGCACATAACTTTGAAAAATGGCATTTTTGCACTCGCAGTAAAATTCTTTATCTTGGAGCCCATTAAGGGACCACGAAGTTGTGTGCTGTTGGGTATACTGCCACCTACAGAAGGATTAGATCCAAAGAACCTAAGAAAACACTTAATGATTGGGTCAAGGCATACGCCATATCATTCGATCTGTAACATCTTAAGCATGTGTTGGATGGTCTGTCTGAGCCAGAGAGAACTCTGGAATGAGTAAAAGGACCATAAGCAATGTCAAAGGCTTTCTGAAAGCAGCAGTGGCTGCGAGAAACTCTGAAAGCCTGAAACTACATCTAAGATAGAGGGGAAATTGCCTATTGGGTGAACCTGGAGCCAGGCAGGAGGGACAACCAGAACAAGGTCCCTGGATGAGGTGAAAGGCCAAAAAGGAAAATAAACCTTTTTTCAATTTTATTGTTAACCCTGGAGTCCCTTGAAAGTGAAGTGGTTCCTAGCTGAGAAATCCTCATGCCAATTTCAATGCTTGGGATACAACAGTAGAGAAAATGTGGGACCAGATGTCATAACCATCCATTTGTTATACAATTCATGTTTAGAGCTGTGACTGGTCAAAAGCAGTCACATGAATACAGACAGGCCAATCAGCAGCCCCACTGTATTCATGTGAATGAGCTTTGCTTCAACTCACTATCTAAATCACAAACAAAAGACGTGAATGAAATCAGTTTCTTTAAGTCACAAATGAGTGCAAAATATCAATTGAAATAACATTGGTATAAGCAATCATAATGTTTAAAGAAAAAGAAGAAAAAAAATAAACTGATCACTTCTGCCCAGAGTAGTTCCATTGTTACTATGGTAACATTGTATTGCTTTGTATACAGTGTTAAAAAACAAACAAAAAAAACAAAACACACAAAAAACAAAACTACAATTAGATTTTTTTAAAACATAACTAAAAGTTCCAAAATCATAACCACGAACCATTATAGAAAAACGTTAGTACTGGACTGGTGACAATATTTACAAAAAACAAAAAAATTACAACCTCCAATAACACACTCATGCCTCTTACTAAAATACCTTGAGCCTTGATATTCAAAAAATGGGTTGATTTGGGGGGTATAGGTGAATCAGAGTGAACTTGCGAGCCACAGGTGTGATAATTATATAAAATAAAAAAAAAAAATTTTTGGAAAAAAAAATTAATAAACAAATTAATAAGTAAATGGGCCCAATATACTATACAAAAAACATGATCAAAAACATAATGTCAGAATACCTTGCTAAATAACATCAGTCTCAGTTATACTTAAAAACTAAATAGTAGACTAACTAGACAATTCTTACTCCAAGAAATTGCAGAATACATCTACAAACACTATGAATTTATGAATGAAATATAATTACAAGAAATGCTAATCATATTAAAATAGAAATATAAGTGGTATAATATAATAACATCTAGTATTATTGCCCGCAAATCATACAATAACAAACTCAATGTCATTAAATCCAATAGGATAATATTACAAATAATGTGTGCAAATAAAAAAAATTATAACAAATTTTCAGATGGGTAAAAGTGTTGCAAAAAATACACGAACCACTCAAGTATTAAAATAAGACAAGATATAAAACAGTGCTGATAAAAAAATATGGCCTGGGGCTAGGAAAGGGGGTAAAGTGCCCGGTATATAAGTACAAGGTACAAATCAATGCATCACTCTAATATTTTTACGAGAAAATAGAGTGTTACTGCCAAAGTGATAATAATGCCTTAAACCTAAAAATCAACTACACTACTGAAATACTAGATCGCATGATTTCATAATCCTATAAAAATAGACAAATTCTAAGATGAAATACTTAATACAACTTTAATTAATATGCATCAAATCCAGAATTGATAAATGCACAAAATCAATACGAAATTGATGTGCTGAACGTTCAAAAATACTGGAAAATCTGAGAATCATAGCATACAAACATTATTTATACAATGGCGAAAATTTCATACATGCAATTTAAAGTATGAAGAACCACGTATTTTAGAATAACTATAAAAATATAAATCTAATCAAACCTTAACCACTAGTACAGAAAATCAACTAGAATCAAAATACAAGCATTCAAAGCATCAAATAGCTAAATACAAGTGCTGTGCCCTATTAGTAAAACAATATACTGAGCATATCGGGAAAAACGACAATAACATCCTAAATTCACCAAGGGCACAGCATTATATCCGCTTAAAATAACTAGACCACTACTGATTCTCCTAATATACGCGTATAGGTAGAAAAACAAAACTTATGACCTACAAGAAAGATTGAATATATTCAATAATAAGTACCATAAAGAGAGAGATTTCCTACGAAGTAATAAATAAACGATTAATGAATACGCCCTAAATAAAAAATATTTCACCAGAAAAAGTCGGGGAAGATCTTCAGATAATCAGTTAGTCAGTTTTATAGATATAACAAAAAAAAAACGGCAAATAAAGTCTATACCATAACCTTATAATATCAACGTACAGACGTAAACAATCCTCAAGTTAAAATAGTCTGATATTTAAAAATCAAAAATAGAAATGAGCTTAGAAACAAAATAAAAATAATTACAAAAACATACTACAATAACATAAGATAAAGATAATAAATCATAAATATTAAAATTATATACAGGAATAGCCAGATCACGTTTAAACTAAAAGATACAAAGGAATATAATTACAGGATGAATTATGATATAAAAGTGTATTAATAAGGCCCAAAAACTGAACACGGATCCGATCAGATTTGCCAAAAATAAGCAAGATCAACCAGACTAACAAAAATTTCTTCAAATATGATTAACATCTACCCAAAAAATATCATGTTAGCGATAAGAAAATATCCGAGAAAAAAAAAGCCCTATAACACAATATTTTCATCTATATAATAAAATAATGGGGACTAAAGATTGAAATCCGATTTATTTGTAATTATACTATCTTCAAGCACTGTGACATACAAAGAATCTTGGCGGTGAGCTCTTATATAGTTAATGAGGCATGAAGGCATGGTCTTAGATCACAGCTCCAGATAATGATCCACATTTAATTCATAATAGGCATATATGATCCAAAAATAAATATCAGACCAGAATCCTAAAGTAGACATATTAAGATAAATATTCTAAAGCCCCTGGACTGGATGACAAAAAATTTATAAAACATAAAAGAATTGAGCCTCTGTTATAAATCATACAGCACAATAGATACTCCAAATTATTAGGGATCGTAAAAACAAATAAACGTAGCTAAATAAATCCAAGATCACAAAAAATAGGTATAGCTGCTAAAATATGTGTACAGAAATACACAACAACAGAAATAACTAGAAAAATAAAGTGAGCGCGCAAATTTTGCAGAAAATAAATTAATAAAAGAATGGAGGGGGGGGGGGGGGGGGGTGTGTGAAGCCAAACCCAAATAACCTTAAACTAGAAAAGCTGTGCTTACATTACAAAGAAACGGCAATGAAACTACAAAAAAACACGTGGAAATACTGTTGGATAGAATTCATTCGCAGGCATCAAAGTCTAAATTAGACGTCCGAGGAAGACCGACGAAGAAAGAAAACTTGAGAATATAATAAACAAACAGAATCTCCTACCAATGCCAGATTATAAAAGTACAAAAAACACAAAAGCAATGAAAAACACTCTCTGCTAATCAAATGCTAAAATAATAAAAAGTAAGTGTGCCTACAGACTGAAATACCTCATAGTAAAAAAAAGCACACAGTTAACACCTATTCGAAATTCTCGCCCCACCCCACATTTTAAACCCTTATGCCTGCCATTAGTACAGTTGTCAAGCATTTTTAATTAAGTACTGATCACTGTAATGGTGATCATGGGGATGTTAGTGACATCCAAGGTCAGATACATTACCATCCCATATGTCATAAAATGAGCCAAGACGCATAACAACCTTAATCTACTCTCCTGTTAAAACACATGATATAAGGAGTACCCACCACTGCTAGGTGGAAATTCGATACAATTTATAGTAGCAAACTGCAAGTCATCCTAGAAATGGTTGAAGGCTCCGGAATTAATTAACAGCATCCTTAGAGTGGTACTGGCATAAATGTGGCAGATGCGGTCAATGACCTACTACAGATATTCACTTGCCAAAGTCTATTTGCCAGATCAATAGCATGATGGGTACCACTGTTTTAAAATAAATATTAAATGCAATATTTCAGCATTGTCCTCAATTCCAAAAGGAAAGGAAATCAGAGAAAAAAAAAAAAAACCCACATAGAAAGATTTGCAGGTAAGAATTAGTATTTTCTGAGATTGCAGTCCAGACTGGTGTACAACCTGAATAAAAAAAAAACGTGATATGTAGGAAAAATGATCTTCATATCCAAGTTGAAAAGTCTCCCATCAAAAACAGGTAATGACACTCAGCCCCCTGACCTACATTAGACATAGTCAACCTTTGACAACACATTTGAATTGCGCCTCCTATACCTTAAAATGGACTCTAATTCGGTCTCACTGAAAAAATTGGCGGTTATTTGCCATATCCCATAAATCAGTGACAGAGGCGAGGCTCATTAAAAATCCTGAAGAGCATAAGTATTTAATGCAAAAAAAATAATTAACTTACAAGGATTTTTGCTCTTAAAAATTTAATTATTCCTTTCTTTTTTGGTTGTTCTATGATTATCAAAGAGTAAATTTATCCTAGGCCACTTAAACTTCAAAACACCACAAAACAGCCCTTGACATACATAACTTTAGTTATGTCTTCTCAACAGTCTAGGAAAAACATGCCCCCCCCCCCTAAAATTTTTTTTAAATTTTTTTTTTTTTTATTTTAAAAAGCTTGGTCATTTTTGTTTGGAGGATAATTCATAGCTTCCAAGCAGCATGGTCTGGCAATATGTTTTGCATCCATCATTGGCTGTAAATAAGCTGTTCCATCCCTGACCATCAACAGATGCAACCGGAGTGGGGAACACGAAGAAACTACTGTTTTTAAACTGAGCAATCTGACTTCTGGCAGCCAAAAAGAATTTTTTACTGTAACAGCAATAGTACGCAGGGTAATATTGCTGAGACACAGGATCTCACTCGGGAAGAGGTATTTGACCATCATATTGATTCTCATTTTAGCGGCTGTGGGAACTAGTAACAAAATAATAGTAACATTTTTTATTTTTTTCTTTAAAAAACATGAACAGTACAGTTATGCTTCGCAGTTAACACATCATTTTTAATTTTCTCGTTGAATCCAACTAAAGTGGAGAACAAGGCCAATGTCACTTCAAGAAAAACCACACCACACTACACACTAGAGGACGATGAAAAGAATGAACGCACAAACCTTGCGCCATTACCTCTCAATAAAATAAACGCATTAGCCTTCTATCCCCCCCCCCTTTTCGATTTACCCCTGTAACCCTGTCTTTCTGGTTTATGGTTACTTTATGCCTGTTAAGAAGCCATCACGTTTGTGAGTATATTTCCTTAAACACACACAAGGAAAAACAAACGACACGTTTTGGAATTTTAAAGCCTCCTTTCATTTCTGGTGATAACTGTGGTCAAGACATACAGATATGTTTTTGAGTGTCATTCTCTGTTTGATACAGCCATAGCAAAATGTAACCGAGCAGATCTGTGCTTTGTGCTTTGTACATGCACTGGAGGGCAGGGGAATATTGGAATCTCCTAGGCCCCACATTTTTCTCCATAAAGAGTACCAGTCCCCGGCCCAATGGCACGATATAGGGGTATGTTAAACCCTTTGTGATAGCAAGCAATAAAAAAAGTATTATTATTAATATTGAACCCCTATACTGCTCCGCACACACCAGCACATGCAAACACGCGTCCAAGGGGGACATGTGCATGTAAACTGCAGCTGGGGTTAGGTATCGCCGCGAACATTTGAGTGAGAGCAATAATCCTAACATCAGAGCTCACAGATTTTTTCCCTTTTCCCCACAAATATCATGCAACATAAAAAATTGCAACTATCATCTTTTTATTCTACAAGGCCTCTGGTTTCAGAAAATATATAATGTTCTGGGGATGTTAAATAATTTTATGGCCAAAAAAGTGAAGATTTTTACAGGTGTTCAAAAAAGTGCTATAGTGCCCAAGTGGTTACAAGGAGAACTTTCATGTATATATGACTGGTAACAGAAAAGACTATTCCTTCAGAACTGCTTCTGAATAAGCTCAAGGTGTCACACAGGGACGCACCTCTTCCACCAGCGTATCCTTCGTGGCTCAGTTTCCGCAGACGCTCATATCCTTGGTTGATGCTGTGGAGTTTCTCTTTAAGATCTGCATGTTTGCTGTGCAAGAAGTCTGTTTTCAGCTCATGTTCATCTGGGCTGATTACATTTTTGTGGATTTCTGTTCATTAGAAAAAAAAATATATTTTACACACTTTATATGCAGCCTACGCTTTGTAACGTACAACTAACAGATTATTTGTTAAAGGTCCTGTCAAAAAGTTCTCATGTCGTCTGATTATTGGCTGGAAAGAAACGTAATATTCTTTGCAAGAAAGAACTGTAGCAATATCAGCCGTAGGAAATCAAAAAAAGTCAGACGGTGATGTGACAGAATGGTTTTCACCTACAGAAATAATGTTGACTTAACCTAGAAATGGTATAGTTACATGATAAAAATGAGGCAAGTCATAAGAGGATAAATGCACTTAAAGGGTAACTCCTAGATTGTAAGCTCCAAGGAGCAGGGCCCTCAAATCCCTCTTGTATTGAACTGTATTGTTGCTGTATTGTCTCCCGTTATATTGTAAAGCGCTGAGCAAACTATTGGCGCTCTATAAATCCTGTATAATAATAACTCCACTTTTGTGGGGGGGGGGGAATACAATTGTCACACAAGTCATCTTGTGATTGAATGTTATTAAAATTACCTTCCCTTTCAATCTGTCCCACAGTCATTTTATGTAAAATGCAATGTAATATGGCAACCTGGAGGCGTTATGTACACAGATGGTGTACAGAACGCCCCCCCAGAAATGTCATTTCCTGCTTACTGATTTTCCCTGAAGTCTGCACTAAGATTAAAGGCATATTTTGGGTATCCCCTGCAACAAAAATGTCATTTTTTAGCGTGATACTCCCAAAAGGGAAATAATGTCTAAAAGGGATTTATATCCTGCCACTAATTAGAACCCAGCTGATGAAGAATAAAAAAGGCACTCCCATTCACCCTGCACATGGACACAGACACAAAACTGCTATTTCTTCCAAATAACAAAAAGTGAAGTATCTGCAACAGTTTGTTTAAATCCTTGCAATATACCATGATTACCCAAGCACCGCAGGCCTCACTCTTCTGGCCACACCTGTGCACTACAGCTCCAGAGACTGCAAGTGGGCTGTAACTGCTAGGGGGCTGAATCTTGAGGCTAGAGTTCGGATGATGATTGGAGACGTCCCCATAGAGTTCTATAGGGGAATAATGTGCAGCCACAATCAGAATGTAAACAAACACTGGAGACCAAAGCTGTCATAACTGGGCATGTATGAATCTGTGGATGGGAAAGGTGGTTTAGTTTAGGACTGGGCAAATAGGCAAAAAAGGATAAGTGCAAATACATTCAGAATTTAGGAGCCAGTCAAGTCAAACTATAAAAAAAAAAAAAAAAACCCACACACAACAAACACACAACAGCAACACACAACAGAAAAAAAGGAAAAAAAAAAAAAAAAAAACCTACAAAATGTCCTCTACATTGGGTTATCTTTCTGAAATTATTCCACTCCGGCCATGTCCATACTGATATATTGTCAAAGGTTCACTTAACCACTTCCCATCCAGCCCATGTATATAAACGGCCGGACGGTGGCAGTGCAGGTTGCCGTTCATAAACGGCGCCCGCCATTTTGGACTGTGCGCGCTCCATGGGAGCGTGTGGCACCGCAATCCAGTGTCGCTGTACGGGACCTCTGTGTGAGGTCTCAATCATGTGATCACTGATTGGCCAATCAGTAATCACATGAATAGGAGTAAGCAAGATGTCACTTCTGACATAATTGCTTACTACGTGTGAAATCTGTGAATGATCACAGAGATCACATGGTACAAGGCTATTCACAACAGCCTTGTACCATGTGACAAGCTGTGACCAATCATGACTCACACAGTATTTCTCAATGGCATCAAGAATGCAGCCAGAGAGAAGGAGAAATGATTGCTTTTACACCTATAAAGGCTGTAAAAGCAATCAGTGTAAAAAAAAAAAAAAATCCCAGTGGTGAATAAATACCACCAAAATAAAGTTTTATCTGTCTCAACAAAAAAAAAAAAAAAAAATCATATGGGTACAGTGTTGCATGACCGCGGAATTGTCATTCAAAGTGTGACAGTGCTGAAAGTTGAAAATTGTCCTGGGCAGGAAGGGGGTGAAAGTGTTCAGACTTGAAGTGGTTAAAATAAGGCACTATTAACAAACATATTAGAACATGCATTCTGCCTATTGCCTTCACAGTGTCATATTTATTATTAAAGTACTGGGGCTGGAGCTGCAAGTAGAAAAACCCATCTACTGTCATGAAATGAGAGGTACGCACTTTGTTTAGAGGTCTCATGTTGCTATTTGTTATCCATTTCTCTGTAAAACAAATGTCAGTTAAGGTTACAGATTAGACTGGAACCATACATTTGCCAGCGGCTTATCCAGAACCTCTTTCAGACCTTTACTTTGTCATCATCACCTGCACCTCACCCTGAAAAGGGCAACTGTAATTTCCCTGAAATCCTCCAGCAAACACCAAGAAAAAAAAAAAAGAAAATAATATGTTCTGCTTTTCCTGAGCCTGTGTACGGTAGTGCCTGGAGCGCTGTGTGTGAACCTCCTGTGAAAGCTTTCTGTCCTACTCTTAATCGTCTCTGGATTGAGCTGGTAGCTGTCCAATACGCAGGCCAAACAAACAAAAGACGTTCTGGCACGTGCAGCAACTGTACACTTATTACAAAAAGCCATCAAATCTCAGCCTGAGAGCCAAGTAAGAAGATTAAACAATAAGTCGGAATGACTCAAAAAAAAAAAAAAAAAAATACTAATTATTAAAAAACTACTGCAGGGTTAAATCATACTCAGGGGCAGGGGCGGAGTGACCATTTGAAAACTCGGGCACTGCCCGGAGGGCCCGGGGTCAGTAGGGGGTCCCATGAGATGCCCCTGGTACCTTTATCGAGTTTGGGCAAGGACACAGGGGCCCTATGATCCCCTATTGCCCGGGGGCCCCATGAGTTGTCAGTCCACCCCTGCTCAGGGGGTTTATTTTCTTTTCAGAACTTTTTTTGTTTTACTATTGAATGGATAACAGGCAAAAGGAATAGTTAAGGCTCGTGTACCCTGATGCACATTGAGCAGTATAACATAATATACAGCTGTATTTCTGCCTGCTGGAGCTATGGGTGAGGCCTGTACAAACGAATTACTGTATCGGCTGCGTGCAAGTATTCGCCGGTACTGCGTACAATCGTGAACACCGGACTGGCTGCATTCAGAGTTCTACAACCATATGCATGCAAGCGTTTAACGGCTTCCTGACCGCCCTATAGCAGAAGTACTGCTATAGGGATGTGCAAAATGACATACAGAGAGATTATACACACACACACACACATATATATATATATATATATATATATATATATATATATATATATATATATATATATATATGAAATTATACAGTATTTATATAGCGCTAAAAGGTTTGCTCAGCGCTGTACATTATAGTGGGGGACAGAACATGAGACAATACAGTAACAAAACAAGAGGGGTTCAAGGGCCCTGCTCTTTCGAGCTTACAATCTAGGAGGGAGGGGATAGTGGTACAGGAGGAAGTGGCTGTGGGGGGATGGAGTGGTAGGAGGAGTGGAGGAGATCGGCTGTTAGGTGAGGGCGGGGTAGGCTTCCCTAAAGAGATGGGTTTTTAGGGTGCGCCTAAAGGTGAGGAGGGTAAGTGACAGTCTGATGGATTGGGGTAGTGAGTTCCAGAGGATGGGGGAAGTCCTGGAGATGTTCTGCAGTCAGGCGTGGGAGGAGGAGACCAGGGAGCTAGAAAGTAGGAGGTCTTGTGAGGAGCGAAGATTACGGGTAGGGTGGTATTTGGGTATCAGGTCGGTGAGGTAGTTTGGGGCAGCGTTATGAATGGCTTTGTATGTCTGTGTTAGTAGTTTGAATTTAATGCGTTGGACAATCGGGAGCCAGTGGAGGGAATGACAGAGGGGGGTGGCAGAAGCGGAGTGGTTGGTAAGGTGGATGAGTCTGGCCGCTGAGTTCAGGATAGACTGAAGCCGGGATAGTCTGTGATGAGGTAGGCCGATGAGAAGGGAGTTGCAATAGTCTAGACGTGAGATAATAAGGGAGTGAACGAGTTGTTTAGTAGTGTCTGGGGTTAAGAACGTACGTATTTTGGAGATGTTGCAGAGGTGGAGCCTGCATGAGCTTACTAACGATTGGACATGGGGTTGGAAGGACAGGTTTGAATCTAGAGTGACACCTAGGACTTTGGCTTGCGGGGTGGGACTGATGGTGGCGTTGTTAGTCGTGATGGAGAGGGATGGGGGGGGTTGGCACAGGCTGGGGGGAAAATCAGGAGCTCGGTTTTGGAAAGGTTCAATTTGAGGAAATGGAGCGACATCCAGTCTGATATGTCGTTCAGTAGGTGGGTGATACGGGCGGAGACTGAAGGTGTGAGGCGAGGAGTGGAGAGGTAAATTTGTGTGTCATCGGCGTAGAGGTGATAGTTGAAGCCGTGGGAGTGTATCAGTTTGCCGAGGGAGGAGGTATAGATGGAGAAGAGAAGGGGCCCGAGGACAGAGCCTTGGGGGACCCCAACAGAGAGGGGGAGGTGGTAGCGTTATAGGTAACGCTGAAGGAGCGTTGGGATAGATAGGAGGAGAGCCAGGAGAGAGCGGAGTCTCTGATGCCAAGGGAGTGTAGTTTATTAAGGAGGAGGGGGTGGTCGACTGTCGAAGGCCACGGAAAGGTCGAGGAGTAAGAAGACTGAGTAGTGGCCATTAGCTTTGGCGGTTAGCAGGTAATTAGTGATTGAGTAGGGCGGTTTCGGTGGAGTGTAGTGGACGGAAGCCAGACTGTAGTGGATCGAGGAGGTTGTTGTCAGTGAGGTGGGCGATTGTAGACTAAGCTCTCAAGGAGCTTGGAAGTAAATGGCAGCAGGGAGATAGGTCTAATGTTGTTCAGGTCGGTGGGGGGTCCAGGGAGGGTTTTTTTGAGTATGGGAGTGATGTGCGCGTGCTTTAGGGGGGAAGAGAATGCGCCAGTAGAGAGGGAGAGATTGAAGATGTGGGTGAGGGAGCGTAGGATGGAGGGGGAGGGTGACTGGAGGAGTTGTGTGGGGACAGGGTCAAGTGGTGAGGGGGGCTTCTGAGAAGACCTTAGTGACCTCCTCAGTGGTAGCAAGGCTGAAGAATATATATATATATATATATATATATATATATATATATATATATATATATATATATATATATATATACACACACACACATATACACATACACACACGATTTTGTTTTTCCGAGTAGGGGGTGCGCGATCCCTACCCGTGCCACTATTGGCTCCTCAGTCCTGGTCGCTGTCGGTACTGTGATCAGCAGCGGACCTGAGAGGGGAGAGATCTGTATGTAAACTACACAGATCTTTCCTGTCAACACGAACAGGCTGCTTTGTATTGCTCTGCATACAATCCAGCTCATCTCCCTAGTAAATCACACAGCACAGTTAACCCTTTGATCATCCCAAATCCTAACCCCTTCCTGCCCAGTGTCATTAGCACTGATCACTGTATTCATGTCACTGAGGATCTCAGTGGTAGCTAGTAAGTCCACCCCCCCCCCCCCCCCCATGTCAGAATGCCCACTGCAGTGCCGCAATAAGGAGTTGCTGATTGCTGCAATTACTAGTAAAAAAAAAAAAAAAGAAATCTAGTATATATACACCCCCCCCCCCCCCATTTGTAGATGCTATAACTTTCATGTAAGACCAATTAATTTACACATATTGGGATTTTTTTTTTTTTTTTTTTTTTTAGCAAAGACATGTAGCAGAATATATTTTGGCTTAAATTTATTAAGAAATTTTATTTTTAAAATTTTACTGGTTAGGTTTTATAGCAAAAAGTTAATATTGTTTTTATGTTTTTTTGTTTATAGCGCAAAAAATAAAAAAAACCCGCACAGCTCTTTGTGGGGGGACACTGCATAAATTTCATTTATGTACAACGTTGCATGACTTCGCAATTGTCAGTTAAAGTAACGCAGCGCCGTATAAGAAAAAATGGCCTGGTCAGGAGGGGGGTTAAATCTTCTGGAGGGCAAGTGGTTAAACTCTGAGAAGTATATACAATCACCGGCCACTTTATTAGGCACACCTGTTGAATTGCTTGGTTGCTCAATTGCTTGGCAACACAAACTGCTAATCAGCCAATGACATGGCAGCACCTCAATGCATTTAGGCATCTAGACATAATGAAGACGACTTGCTGAAGTTCAACTTCCAGGTTTTATTACGAAAAGCTTTAAACTGATCAAGCTGAGGTAAGAAGCTGATTGGCTACCATGCACAGCTGTATCAGATTCTGAGTGTACCAGTTTAAATCTGCCCCACTGTCTGCGTGCGGGGACATGCAACCACACCCACATGCATGCCGAAATTGGGAGCAGAGGCTATGGCTGGCCATACATTATACAATTATCTGCAGATTTTTGGTTTAGATTTACCAAAAACCATATAATAGGAGACAAAACCTAAACAACACTTTCAGTTGTATCCAATTAGGCAGGCCCTTGCACTACATAGTTGAAGGTAAATCTAAAAGAAATTGGGCAGAAAATCTGCAGATAATTGTATAATGTATGGCCAGCCTAAGTCTATGCAGCCACTGCATCCTAGTTGACATGAATGGGACTGCCTGCACTGGACACTTGTAAATGCAGCCCTTGTGCACTCTGTAGTACGTATGAATTATTATTATACAGTATTTATATAGCGCCAAAGGGTTTGCTCAGCGCTGTACAATAGCAAGGGGGACAGAACATGAGACAAAAAACAGTAACAATACAATACAATACGAGGGGTTTGAGGGCCCTGCTGCTCTTTCGAGCTAGAGTGGTGGGAGAAGTGGAGGAGATCAGTTGTTAGGTAAGGGTGGGGTAGGCTTCCCTGAAGAGATGGGTTTTCAGGGTGCGCCTGAAGGTGAGGAGGGTAGGTGACAGTCTGATGGATTGGGGTAGGGAGTTCCAGAGGATGGGGGAAGTCCTAGAGAAGTCCTGCAGTCGGGCGTGGGAGGAGGAGACCAAGGAGCTAGAGAGTAGGAGGTCCTGTGAGGAGCGAAGGGCACGGGTAGGGTGGTATTTGGGTATCAGGTCAGTTAGGTAGTTTGGGGCGGCGTTGTGAATGGCTTTGTAGGTCAGAGTTAGTAATTTGAATTTGATGCGCTGGGCAATCGTGAGCCAGTGAAGGGATAGGCAGAGGGGGGTGGCAGATGCGGAGCGGTTGGTGAGGTGGATGAGTCTCGCCGCTGAGTTCAGGATAGACTGGAGCGGGGATAGCGTTTGTTTGGGTAGGCCAGTGAGATTGATGCCTTAATCTACTATATAGTGCACATTAAAAAATTTTACTAGAGCAGTGAAGGCTATTCACTTTGTGAATGTGAACTTTTATTAGTTTAGTGAATGAGGTAAAGATCTGCTTGTGGATGTGGCTTCACCACGGAGTTTGAGTCCAGGCTCACAGCAAGGGAATAGTGTCTGGACCCGGCTTGCTTACAACTGTATGCGCAGTATACTACGCTGTTCGACACTAATTAGACATTCCCAGTGCAGAAAAACACTACAGTGTTTCCGCATTTTGCAGAGACAAAATGGAAAAGCAAACAAAAAAAAAAAAAAAAAAACGCTGTATTGCAAAAAAAAAAAAAAAAATAAAAAAAAGTTTTTCAAGGTTTTAGACATGTTTTAATGTAAATTGGTTGGTGTAACTTTAATGAACATACAGTTTACACTATGAAAGCCTCTCTCTCTCTCTCTCTCTCTCTCTCTCCCTTCACGACGCTAGCTTCACACTATTGCCATTTCCAGTGTGTTTCCCGTTTTGCAGAAAACACACTACAGTCCATTTAACATAATTTCTTATGGATCACATCTGTGTGTTTAGCCAGTGCATTTTTGGAAAGGGCTAGGGACTTTTTGCCCCACACAGCATTTGCATTTCTGGTTCAATAGAAATTCAATGGAACAGCAACAGTACATACAAAAAAAAAAAAAAACAAACAAAAAAAACGCTGGTATTGCATTTTTGATGCATTTCCACTGCGTTTTTCATCTGCATGACAACAAAACACCTCCCTCTAACAACTAAGTTCCCAAAAAACATAACGCTTCAAAAACGCAAAATGTCCTGAAAAAAAATGCATCACAATATGTATAGGTGTGAACCCATTTATGAGGTGTGCTGGTTCTATGTGAGCTGAACATTTCAGCCGTGCAGTGCTGTGAAAATTACAAGAAGATCCATAGAGGGATCCCACACAGGGGACACACAGCCACTGTATCGGTTATTGAAGGTAATAGTTTGTTTGGACCAGCTTGGTCCAAAGGAATAAATGGAAAAGTCATTAAAAGCTGCAAATCTGTTTTAAAAAGTGACTGCATAGCAGATTCTACATTTTAGAAAACTACAACACACACACACACACACACACACTTACTAGCACAATGTAATAAAGGGTGGTCTCAGATCTTCTTGAGATTAGGATCTTGAGTTTAGGCAATTGGTCCGCAAGGGACCTGCTCTCTCACTGCTAAAATTGGAGCTTATGGTTTACGAAATGTTAACAAGACCTTCTCTTCGGATAGAGGGAAGAAAACGCTGTACCTTCAGTCCTGGTGACTGTGTCCAGTAGAATGTTGTACTCATTTGTCTTCTCTTTGTGATGGAGGAATTCCCGCCACAGGTTATCCAACTCTTCCTCTGAGAATTTCCCGGAACTCTTTGCCTGTACAATCAGAAGTGACTATGTCATGACAATATTCATCTCCGCAGACTAATAGTTTTAACTTACAAAGTTTAGTAACCATGTACACAATTTCTGTGCTGTAACCTTTAGCAACTAGGATTCGGTTGACACAGGCAGAAAATGGAAAATAATTTGATTGGCTACAGTATGTTGCATGAAGTAAAGCAAGAAGAGGACTGGAGACAGTATCTACAAAACTACAAAATACCCTTAAAAGAAGGCCAAAAGGAGAAAATATAAAATCTCATAGCTGACTTCTTTTGAAAAGACCAGTTCCCTGGCTGTCACACCAATTCAATGGCTGCAAGGTTCACTACACAGGCTGCACAAGTCTCCCACTAATAAAAAGGATGGGGAACCATATTTCAGGCACAAGCAATCTAGAATTTGCCAGGCCCTTCAACCTCTCAAAAAACATTTCCTACAAAAACCTTGAGGATGCGAACCCAATTAGTCTCATTTATTTTCTTTAAAACGATAGAAAGAGTTGTGCCTAACAAGAGGAGGACAGGATGTCTAAGTCAGGTAACCAGCCTCTCCTCTAATCATGGAGTTTTCTTTTCTGTTTTAGGCAGAGAGAACTCTGACATACCAAGGCTCTCTGCATTTTTTAAATGGCCTGTAAAATATGGAGCAACTAGTGATATTGGCTCTCTGCTATTAATAACCCTCCCCCCCAAAGCAATGTATAGACAAATAGACTACTGGCATTAGACAATGCTGTGAAGAGAATTACTATAAAAAAGCAGACCTTAAAAGTGGTGCTAAAGCTAGAATTTCTTTTACCTTAATTCAGGCCTTGAAATTTCCACTCACCTGCTCGCCAATGGCAAGTGGAAATTATGGTGGGGCGAGTGTGTCCCCCAGGGCCTTCTTGCTGAGCAGGCTCAGAGCTAAGGCCAGATCTGTCATTGGCACTGAGAGCCGTCAGACTGCTCAATAGCTGAGCGCAGTGAAAGCAAAGGAAGAAGTGTGCTGTGCTCTCTGCCTCCCCCTAGAGTGCAGTACCTGGCTCTGTGAGTGAACAACGAAGTACTGCAACTTTTTTTAAGGGGTGGGGGGGGGGTGTGTGTGTACATGTATCTGTGTGTATGCATGTCTGCACATGCCTGTGTGTGTGTATACGTGTGTGTGTACATGTTTGTGTGTGTATGTACATGTGTGTGTGTGTACAGGTGTCTGTTTCTGTGTGTGTTTGTTGGTGGCAAGTAACTCTTAAGGCCTGGCTAGTAGCTCAGGACTTGAAATTTTAAGCCCTGCTTTAATTCATCCACTCGCTGTCTCCCACCCACTCACCCAAGTCCTCTGTCTATCCCACGCTGTGTCTGGCTGCATCCCTTCTCTCCCCTTTTTCTCATCTCACAAGAGACTCTAAGAGCAGAGCTCTCATTGGCTCCTGCTGCTCACAGTCAAAACCTGTGAGGAGGGAGTGGGGGGAGAGTCATGCTGTGTGTGTCTATGGATGCACACAGCCCAGCTTAGCAGTGCACCAGCACATGTGCCCCCATAACACACAGCTTGCTGATGGGCACACGTAGAAGAAGAGGAGAAGACAGCGTCGACAGGGGACCTCAGAAGTGGAGGTAACGGACTGACCTGTGCAATGTCACTGCATAGAGCAGGCAAGTATAAGCAAGTTTAATATCTTAATTTAAAAATAGCCTTTAGAACTGCCTTATCCTATTACAACAACCTTCTGTTTCTCTCCCCTTCTTATCACGACAAATGAAAAAAAAAAAAAAAGCTTCACTGTTATTTTAAAATTGTAGTAATGTTTTGTGTGGTAAGGCAATATGTTTTGAGGATGTGAGGCGATGGGGGGGGGGGGGGGTAACTAAAAGTAGAGCACACAGAATCTGGTGCAGCTGTACGTAGTAAACAATCAGCTTCTACCTTCAGGTTGTTCAATTAAGCTAAGGCTGGCCATACATTATACAATTTTCTTGAGATTTTTGCTTTAGATTTACCAAAAACAATATAATGAGGTCAAACCTAAACATACACTTTCAATTGTATCCAATTAGTCAGGTCCTTGCACTACATAGTTGAAGGTAAATCTAAAGGAAGTTGGGCAGAAAATTGTATAGTGTATGGCCAGCCTAAGTTATAGTGAGAATAAAACCCAGTAGGTGATTGGGTAAAATGCACAGTGGCACCAGATTCAGTGTGTTCCAGTTTTACCAAGTCACACCCAATGTGTTTTGAGATGTCCCTCTTTTTCAATCCTGTGAGACTTGAAGAAAGATATCCTCAAATCGCTTTGCCTCACCTCCAGGACTGACACTTGCACACAGCCTGCACCCGCTATTCCATCTTGGTGCAGCCAAGAGATTCAGACTGCCGTTGCATCTGTCATTGATCATCTGAAGGAGTAACATTTGCTACATCCTTCTTCAGCCCCACCATGGACCATGGGGAGTGAGCTTACACAGAACTGTACCATGCCAGCCTGATCTGCACTAATGCAAGCTGAGCATGCGAGTTGCCATTTTTGTTTTATAAAATGAAATATTTTATGAGTAAGCACCATCGTGTCACACGTTTCACAGAGCCTGCCTTCTGAACTCCAGGAGGTGCTGAGAGGATTTTGAGGAGGCGGAGTCACTACAGGAATCACTACCTGCAGACAGCAAGGTACCATGGGATATGTAGTCCTTATAAAAAAAAGTAAAACAGCAGAGGAGAAGCTGCAAAGCATGTTGGAAATCCAGGAGGTGGCAGAAAGATGGACAGGTAGAACTCAACATGAAAAGAAGATTTTTTTTTTTTTTTTTTAATACTGGATTCTCAAAATACCTATTGTCTGTATTACTATTAACAATGTTGATGTTATAAAATGAAAGTATATGCTTTAACTGAGCACTCGCACAGCTCCTTGCTGCTCTCCAGTCAGTTACACTACGTGGCACCACTGAGTATGGAAGAGAATGCCAGTTCCTCCCTTGTGACAAAGTTACTGAGATGAGGGGAGGGGGTAGATTGTAAGCTCGAAAGAGCAAGGCCCTCGATCCCCTCATGTTTTGCATTGTATTGGTATTGTTCTGTCACATGTTCTTTCCCCCTTTGTAATGTACAGCGCTGAGCGAACTATTGGTGCTTTATAAATACTGTATAATAATAATAATAATAATATATCCAGCTGGGGAGAAATCAGACAGCTGACAACATTGCTAGGGATTCCAGTGCAGCAGATGCAGTGTTGTCAGCCCACAGCAGAAATCTAGGAACACACTGGACTTCTGGAACAATCAGCACTATTCTGAAAAACAAATACGGGGAAAAGTGCATGTATTGTAGAGATGTACCAATCTTTTTAATTTATGACGAATTAATAAAGCCTTTTTTTTTTTAGATTTTGACAGTGGTGAGGGATTCTATTGTACAAAAGGTTTGTACAATTTTGTTTGGAGTTTTAGTTATACAGTTATGAAGTCATGGTGATTAGCAATGTATTCATTAGCTATGAGCAACTTCTACAAGCAGCAGTCTTATAGTCTTGAATATTGAGTTTGGTAGCAGTGTCTACTGGGAAGGACAGACACCATTCCATTCTTCCACTGGACTGGACTGAGAACACTAAGCACCTACTAAAAAGGTCTTGAGGAAGCCACATGCAAGGGACTGGGTCTGCATATGACTCCCAAGACACTAATCAATGCTTTACCTTGTTCCACAGCTTCTCCAAACGTGGATCATCCAGCACATCATTTTCTGTGCCACCTTTAATGTAGTTACCGTCTTCAGTCTGTGTCTGCTTTTTTTCCATCCAGTCCATACTTGGCCAAGATAACTATATGGAAAAACATAAAATGTTAGAGACTGCAAGCTTTATTACTGTGGACAGGGAAGTAACACAACTGAAGGTGGTAACTGGATTGCTGATGAATACAAAGTACAAGAACAATGTACATATTCAAAATGTTTTTATTGGTGAAGTATACACCATAAAAAAAGAACTGAAAGTATACTGTACTAAATTTAGATAAACAAAGTTCAAGTAAATAGATAAACAAAGTATTCAAGCCACACACTGAAGTACACGTGAGGATCTTGTCAATGATCTCCAGGCAGCTGGAACCACAGTGATCAAGAAAACAATTGGTAACACACTACGCCGACAAGGATTGAAATCCTGCTGTGCCTGCAAGGTCCCTCTGCTCAAGAAAGCACATGTCCAGGCCTGTCTGAAGTTTGCCACTGAATATCTGAATGATGCAGAGGAGGACTGGCTGAAAGTGTTGTGGTTAGAGGAGACCAAAAATCGAGCTCTCTGGCATCAACTCAACTCGCCGTGTTTGGAGGAGGAGGAATGCTGCCTATGACCCCAAGAACACCATCCCAACTGTCAAACATGGTGGTGGAAACATTCTGCTTTGGAGGTGTTTTTCTGCTAAGGGGACAGGACAAGTGCACACCGCATCAAAAGGGACGATGGACGGGGCAATGTACCATCAAATCTTGGGTGAGAACCTTCTTCCCACAGCCAGGGCATTGAAAATAGGTCATGGATGGGTGTTCCAGCATGACAATGACCCAAAACACACGGCAAAGGCAACAAAGGAGTGGCTCAAGAAGAAGCACATTAAGGTCCTGGAGTGGCCTAGCCAGTCTCCGGACCTTAATCCGATTGAAAATCTGTGGAGGGAGCTGAAAGTTCAAGTTGTCAAACGTCAGCCACCAAACCTTAATGACTTGGAGAGGATCTGCCAAGAGAAGTGGGCCAAAATCCCTCCTGAGATGTGTGCAAACCTGGTGGTCAACTACAGGAAACGTCTGACCTCTGACTGCCAACAAGGGATTTGCCACCAAGTACTAAATCATGTTTTGTGAAGGGGATCAAATACTTCTTTCCCTCATGAACATGCAAATCAGTGCATCATTTGTTAGACATGCATTTCTGCTGAATTTTTTGTTGCTATGCTGTCTCTCAGTGTTACAATACACCTACCATTCGATTTTTAGACTGATCATTTCTTTTTGAGTGGGCAAACATTCAAAATCAGCAGAGGATCAAATACTTATTTCCTACACTGTACATACCAGAGAAAAAGGTCACTGGCTTTGGGATAACCAAAAAGTCAAGTATCTAGCTGTTCGTCCCCAATACAAATACATGCTTTACTGCCTATACAGACTGATTTTACTGTTGTGGGTTTAGTAACACTTTAAAAGTAAAAGCAAGCATAAAACAGTTTTATAAAACATATTAGAACAGGGGTGTCAAACTGGTGGTCCTCCAGCTGTTGCCAAACTACAAGTCTCATCTACCTTTCAGAGTCATGCTTGTAACTGTCAATCTTGCAATGCCTCATGGGACTTTTAGTTTGGCAACAGCTGGAGGGCCACCAGGTTGACACCTGTGTATTAGAATGTTTACCGTTGAGTGATCGCCTGAGCTTGGCTTCTTTTTCTCCATCATCATCTAGTCCTTCAGCCTTTAACTTTTTCCAGTTCAGTTCATCCTTTTCCTGGATTTTCAGATCGCTGTGGAGTTCTGCCAGTTTTACAGGAGAAAGCTGGAGCTGAAAGAGGCAAAATGTGTATATGTAGATGCCACTGATAAATGGTACAGACTTCATGTTTGTCAGTTTTCCCCTGGCTTCGCTACTCAGTGGGCAATGGACCTTGAACAAGTTTGCAGCCAAAAAAAAAAAAAAAAAAAAAAGAAATTTCCCCCACAATCCTCTTTCCAGGTAAGAGGTTCAGAAATCTTTAAAGCTGAAATCTACATATGATTTTTAATGCATAGGTACATTGGTCCAGCTTGGGATGTAAATACCTGAGCTATAACTGTGGAAGACAAATTGTTGCAGTAGTCAGCGCTACTACAGTGGTATCCTCGAGTCCTTTGCTGAGCAGCTGCCCTTCTGCATAGTAACCACAAAGGGTCACTCGCTCAGCGCTGCCACCATTCACAGAATGTCTTGTATTTTTTCAATAAATATAAGGCTTTTTCTGATTCAACAACCGCCTGTTTTTTTTTTTTTTTTTTTTTTTTAACTGTCCCCTGGAAGTCGGTGTGAATGAGTCCTTAAAATTATGATACAGGCTTGTGGAGCAATTTTCAAGTGATGTCACAAATTACATTCATTTTTACAGTGATTTCAAAGGAATAGAACGAGTACTGTATTGCTCAATTTAACAGCTGCAATGTTTCACAATATCTTAGGATTCCAAAAAGGATTGAAATTCAAAGTAGTACCGAAGCCTGATTTTTTTTTTTTTTTTACAGAATTAGATCTATATATGTGATTTGAGCAGTAGACAACGGTTTTACAGAGAAGAGAAAAAAATAATAAAAAAAACACAACAACTTACAATCTACTATGTTTACAAGCACAGTCTCCTGGTTGCCCTGCAACGCTTCCTTAACCATTTGCCCCCCAGAGGATTTACCCCCCTTCTTGACCAGGCCATTTTTTTGTCATACGGCGCTGTGTTACTTTAACTGACAACTGTGCGGTCATGCAACACTGCACCCAAATGAAATGTATGTCCTTTATTTCTGTGGTACTTGATCACCTCTGAGTTTTTTTTTTTATTTTTTTGCACTATAAAAAAAAAAAAAAAAAAAAAAAAGCCTGTCAATTTTGAGAAGAAAAAAAAAAAGCACATTTTTGACTTTTTGCTATTAAGCATGTCCAGTAAAAAAAAAAAAAAAAAAAAAAAAAAAAAAAAAAAAATCAAATTTCGACAGTTAGGTTAGGCCAAAATGTATTCTGCTAAATGTCTTTGCTAAAAAAAAAAACCCAAAAAAAACAAAAGATACCAATACGTGTAAATTAATTTGTTTACGTGAGAGTTATGGGTATTAAAATCATTTTTAAAAAAAGTCTTTGCTAAAAAAAAAAAATCCCAATACATGTAAATTAATTGGCTTATGTGAAAGTTACAGAGTCTACAAATGGCGGTATATATACACTGGGATATTTATTTATTTTTTATACTAGTAATGGTGGCGATCAGCGACTTATAGCAGGACTGCAGCAGGCATCTGACTGTCACGGACGTCCCCAGTGACACAAATACAGTGATCAGTGCTAATAAAAATTAAAAAAAAAAAAAAAAAAAATCACTGACACTGTCCTAATGACACTGGGCAAGAAGGGGTTAACATCTGGGGTGATCAAAGGGTTAACTGTGTGTGTTTTACTGTGTAAAGCACATTGCAAAGCAGTGTGCAGAAGCTGACAGGAGAAAGATCGGTATTGTTTACATTCAGACATCTCCCCCGTCAGTAATACTCAGCGATAAATCACCGGCCGGGACCCGGGAGATCGTCAGCTGAGGCAGCCAATGGTGGCGCAGGGAGGGCGTGTGTATCCCTTACCCGGAAATGCAAAATCACACACACATATTCTATAATATAGACACACACACACGCACATGACTTTGCGCAGCCCTGACACCCTGTAGCAGTATTTCTGCTATAGGGTGGTGGGCAAGCGGTTAAACTTCTGCTTGGGGAGCAAATGATAATAACTTAAAGTGGAAGTAAAGGCAAATCTTAACTAACTCTAAACCTACTCTCAGCCACATTGTAAGCCTAATCTGTCTAGCCCTGTAAAGAAAAAAAAAAAAAAAGAAATAATCACTATACTTACCTGTTGTGCAGTCGCTCCGGTCCGGTCCCACTGTCAGCAGTGGCTTCAGTGTACAGGAGAGGTAGACAACAGAAGCCCCATAGTAAGTCTAAGGGTGGTGTCACTTCCCAGGTATTTCTCAGCCATTGCTGCTGTCTCCAGACCGGACCAGAGAGGCAAATAGTGATTTTTTTTCTTTATAGGGCTAGATAGACTAGGCTTAGAATATGGCCGAGAGTAGATTTAAAGTTAGAATTAGCTAGTCAGAATTTGCCTTTACTTCCACTTAAATACAATTCAAGTGCCACCACATACACCTTCTGAAAAGTAAACACTGTCACTTGTCCCTGGGTAAAAGTCACAGATTTAAATCTCTTAGATTGTAAGCTCCCAGGATCAGGCCCTCCTAACCCTCTTGTATTGAACTGTATTGTTGCTGTATTGTCTCCCGTTATATTGTAAAGCACTGAGCAAACTGCTGGCGCTATATAAATCCTGTATAATAATAATAATCTTTTACCCGGGCATCTAATAAAGAAGATTTGCAAGCCAAAAGAGGAGTGCCAGTTTTTACTTTTCATATGGATACATAAGGCATATGGGAGCAGTTACTGCAGGATCACTTACTGGCTTGAGTTCAGACGGGTTTTTTTTTAACGTGGGACATGCATACGAGCCCTGTCCATTCCTCTCTGGCTGCCTGTGCATGCTGGCATAGGAAGCACCCAAACATAGGCTAAACTGGCCACAGGTGGATTGAGGTTCAGCCGAATGTTGACCCATCTATGGTTTTTCCATTTGAGAGAAATGGCCCTCAAACGGGACTGTTGGTAAATTTCCATTCGATCAGCGCTTGCCACCAATCAGCTGCAATGCTGACCAGTGTATTCTGACAGTGGAGGGGTCCCCCAATCCAAAACATTTAGGGTTTAGTAACACTGGTTTTACAGTTAAGGGCCCCCTAGATTACAGATAACTTCAGTCATTATGGAGGCTGTGCAAAGCCAAGGAAAAAAAGTGTCAAGCATGAATGGACACAATGGATGCACTGTGTGGGTCATGAAAGACGTTTGAAAACCAAGATGAACTGCCAACAATTATAAACTATAGAACAGGTTTTTCCAACCTTTTCCTGTGCGCACCCAGTTTATGGAGTATTATTGGGCTGGGGCTGGTCAATGAGAAAGATTTTGCTTGAGTAATTAAAGAACATTGATCAACAATACAAGTTAAAGTATGCCTGTCACAGGAGAATTTGCTTCCTGTCCATTATGCTGATGCTATGGCTTCATTGCTTTTGGAGTCACTGACCCTTGTGTGACACTCACTTAGACCATGCGTGTACTGGGAATCTGTATCTGAAGACAAAATGTTTGTTTTCCCCATTTTGAATAAAGTAGAGTAGAATTATGTCTAGTACACAGAGAAAAACGGAGCAAAAAAATACCACTTTCAGAGTGATCGTCCAATAAGCTGATCATTAATACAAAGCTTTCGAGAGCCGATCATGACAGTTCATGTGAAAATATCCAAGAGATAAACACAAAAAAAGTTCTCAAAAGATAAACAGAACAAATGATTTTTGTGTGTAAATGGTATAGTATTGTACGGCAAAATAATACATAATACATTTGACCAATGGAAACAAAAGAATACATTAAAATACAATACATTATCGCAGGAAGTTGTATTCTGTCTTACAAGACTTTTTATAACTCTACTAACCTAATTTGTTTTTTGGTATAAGACTAGCATGCAAAAAAAAAAAAAAAAACAGAGGATAATTCGTCCAATATTCTCAGTGTGTGTACAAGGCCTTAATACCGCTGTCAAGTTATATTTTTATCCTTGCTGTCACATTAGGGAGAATCCCTTTTGTATCCTGTCCTAAAGACTCAACAGGAAGTGAGGGGAGATCATTCCATTGTAAGGGAAATCCCCTCAGACAACTGACAAGGGGCAACATTTCCCTGATCTGCTACCGTTTCCTTTTTTTTTTTTATTTTAACTGACAAGATCTACTTTAACCACTTACCCTACAGAGAATTTACCCCCCCCCCCCCCCTTCCTGACCAGGCCATTTTTTTTGATAAGGGGCTGCATTACTTTAATTGACAATTGTGCGGTTATGCAGCGCTGCACCCAAATGAAATTTATGTCCTTTTTTTCCCCCACAAATTAAGCTTTCTTTCGGTGATATTTGATTGCCTCTGCGGTTTTTTATTTTTTTTGTGCTATACAAACAAAAAAAGAAAAAACAACTTTGAAAAAAAAAAAAAAAAATAAAAAATATATATATACAGTCAGGTCCATAAATATTGGGACATCGACACAATTCTAACATTTTTGGCTCTATACACCACCACAATGGATTTGAAATTAAACGAACAAGATGTGCTTTAACTGCAGACTGTCAGCTTTAATTGGAGGGTATTTACATCCAAATCAGGTGATCGGTGTAGGAATTACAACAGTTTGCATATGTGCCTCCCACTTGTTAAGGGACCAAAAGTAATGGGACAGAATAATAATCATAAATCAAACTTTCACTTTTTAATACTTGGTTGCAAATCCTTTGCAGTCAATTACAGCCTGAAGTCTGGAATGCATAGACATCACCAGACGCTGGGTTTCATCCCTGGTGATGCTCTGCCAGGCCTCTACTGCAACTGTCTTCAGTTCCTGCTTGTTCTTGGGGCATTTTCCCTTCAGGTTTGTCTTCAGCAAGTGAAATGCATGCTCAATTGGATTCAGGTCAGGTGATTGACTTGGCCATTGCATAACATTCCACTTCTTTCCCTTAAAAAACTCTTTGGTTGCTTTTGCAGTCTGCTTTGGGTCATTGTCCATCTGCACTGTGAAGCGCGTCCAATGAGTTCTGAAGCATTTGGCTGAATATGAGCAGATAATATTCCCGAAACACTTCACAATTCATCCTG